AAGCAGATGTTGGATGGCCATCTGTCATGTATGCTTCAGCTGAGATACTTGCATTGCAGTGGGGTAGCACCTGATAACCCTTGGGTTCCCTTCCAATTCTATGATTATCCCTCTGAATACTAGTTGCTGGGGCTGTGGAGGAGAGGGCTGCTGCCTTCCTGTTCTGCTTGTGAGCTTCCCTGAGACATTTGGTTGACTACTGTGGAAAGTCAGCTGTTCGCCTGGTCCAAGAGGGCTGTTATGTTCAGCTTGGGAGAAGGGGTGTCTGTGAAAATGAAGATTTCATGGACAGGGAAGAGTTTTGAGGAGAGATTTGAATGAAGAGAGAGATGTGGAAAGACCCGCACAGATGTTCTGGTTGGGGAAGAGTTGCGAAGAAAAAAATGAGCATGGCAGATCCACCCAGCTGCTCTCCTGTTAGCTTCTCCCCCTTTCTTTCTAGAAAATGGTTTTAAAAGTAAGTTACATAAGCCCGCCTATGTGCCCCCCCCAGGCACCACACACAGCTCCCTGGCTGCAAAGGTAATGGGAAATAATCAAGGTCCTGGCTCTTGCAATTGCCGGTCGCAGCTGAGCTCTGTTCGGGAGCCCGGCTTGGGCAGGTTTCCATCGCCAGGCAGCCGCTGCAGCTGATAACCCCTTTCCCCCCGCCAGCGGCGTGTGATGGATTGGGCTGGGGAGGGGGATGGCAGAAGAGCCACTTTTTTCTGTTTCTCCTGCGCTTGCAGAGATAGGCTGCTCAGGTGCTTGTCAGGATTATCTCCCGCAGAAGGCAACCCTGCCATCCATCTTCTGCTTGGTCCCCGGGGGGCGGAGAGAGCTGAGTAGTCAGGGGAAAGGCAGCAAGGAAATCTTTTGAGCCAAAGTGAATTTGGGGAGAGGAGAGGGTGGGGAGTTTTTCCAAGTCAGTGTAAACCCAGGGGCTGATGGAGCGCCCCAAACATCTCGCTCTGGTCCTGGGAACTTTTCCCAGGCTACCCCGGGTGATGGTGCACCGTTTGGTGCTCTGCTCAAGTGGGACCTAGCAGAACTCAGCTGCGACTGCCAGCACCTTCATAAGGGCTTCAGGGGTCCATGTGTGTGGCTTGCTGGATAGGGGGCATGGCATGGCTGGAGGGCTGTTCCAATAGGGGGCATTTTCCCGCATAAGGAAAGGGTGCAACATTTGGGGCTTTTTCAGAGTAGACATGATAGAATCATGCATGGTGTGCAGAAAGGAAACTGAGAAATGCTTTTTTGCTCCCACAAGAGTCAACGATGGCCACCTTTAAAAGAGGGTTAGACAAATTCATGGAGGGTAAGGCTGTCAGTGGCTACTAGCCAAGATGGTGGTGTTCTTCCCTCCAGTGCCAGAGGCGATAGGCCTCAGAGTGCCAGTTGAATGGGAGTCATAAGTGGAGAGAGTTGCTCAGGACCTTCTAGCAAGCTTCCCGCCAAGGCAATCTGGTTGGCCCCTGTGAGAACCAGATCCTGGACCAGATGGGCCCCTGGCCTGATCCCCCGAGGCTCTCCTTGCGTTTGTATATTGAAGGCTGCTTTGCTATGATGCAACACAAAATTTGGTTGTAAGCCATTGTGTCAAGGAATATAGATTCTCCCCCCACCCCACCTTGTTAAAGCGAGCAACACATGTTGGGTTCTGATTTGTTCTGCTACCTTTCTGTCCGACACCTGAGACAATGCAGTTTCCCGTGTTGCAAAAGTATCTTAAATGTTTCGATACCCTTTCTGTAATATTTTTTGTTTTGTTTTGGTCTCCTTGCTGCAGGGAAATCAAAGGCCAAGAAGGGCAGTTTAGATGACACTTCATTTGGCAGCAGTGAGGAAGAGGATGACAGTGATGAAGGAGAGTACAAAGTGGAGGACGAAGAAGAGGATGACAACGACGAGAGCTCCAGTGATTCAGATGGTAAGAGAGCGCTGCCACGGCTTCCTTTGGAGGAATGACATTGGGCATCTTGGCGAGGCGAGATGTAGGTTTTTGCTCCTGTGCTCCTGACCTCTAGTATGGGATCTGAAGGGATATGCCTTTCACCTGTTATGTTTTTTGGAAATGGGTTTGCTTGCTACGCAGCTTGCATTTTGCCAGGTGTGTGTGTGCATTTGTGTGTGTGTGTGTGTGTGTGTGTGTGACACACGCACACACACACACGTTCCTGGCTGTCACATCTCCGCACACCTCGTACTGTCTTGCTGGTGATCCCTTTAAGAGGAGCAGCTGGTGCCCACGGAGGAAGGTGCTGGGTAGGATCCAGCCACTTACGTGCTACAGTGGTGTGTTTGTGTGTCTGCGCACGTGCATACCAATTCCATCGGTTTGGCCTGAAAAGATAAGCAGTGGAGGTCCTTGAAGCCGGGCCCAGGGTGGTAACAAGAGAAGTCTCTGCCAGGAGAAGGACGTTGCTTGTCAAGAGTGCCACCAGCTCTGGCTGTCCTTTCCCATTATCTCCAAGTGCGCTACTGCCTTCCCCTTCTCTCTGAGGGGTGTTTTAAAGGACGTAAAGCCCTCTTGGGGTGGCGATGATGGTACAGGGATGTCCACTCCTCCTCCCCCTCTCCTTAACAAGATTTCTCTCCTGGCTTTGAGGTGAAAATGAGAGGAGCTGTGCCCAGCCCCACTGACTGATTCACTGTGACAGATGGCAGAGGGTTGGCACACGGACCTTGGTGCCGTTGCCCAGAATAGATGAACAGCAGAGATGGGAGCGAACATTGGCTGGGAACGCTTGGCAGTCTCCTTGCCGGCTCTTGGAGCTATTTCTATCTGGGGCTGCCAGAGCCTGGCAAGGCAAACGGCTCCCACAGCTGCCTCTCTCTCTCTCAGTGCTTGTTTCGGGACGGATGTTACCAGTTGGCCCCTCCCTCGAGATGTGCAGTGACATTTGTTTGGGGGGGGGGAAAAACACCCTTCCAGAACTGCAATACTGTAATAAGCATTTTAATGCAGGGGCGTATGCGCCCATGTTTCTGCGTGGGCCGGCACATGAGAGCTCATGTGCTTTGCATGCAGAAGGTCCCCAGGTTCAATCCACAGCATCTTCAGAAAGGGCAGAGAAATGTCCCTTACTGTCCGCACTATGGTGGTGGATCTCCCAAGGATTTCAGACCTTTGGCATATAATTTTAAAGCATTCTCCCCCCCCCCAAAGTCCCAGGGACAGTTGCAGCCATTAAAACATTTTAAGCTTGATTTTTCAATACCAGTGATCATCTCAAGCTTTGAAATGCAACTTGTGTGACCTGCTTGGGCAGAGGGGCTTTGGGGTACTGGCCTTGTACTGTCAACAGGGATAGGGATCTTGCTGCCCTCTAGAAGATACTGGAACACCAATTCCCATCAGCCAGCATGGCCTATTGTCAGGGATGATAGGAGTTGTAGTCTCACGACATGTGGAGGGCCTTGCATTTCTTGTGTCTATCTTAATGTACGATGTTGCCTGGGAGTTGCAGCCAACCGAATTCTACTCAGAGTAAACCTACGGACCCAGATTCAACTAAGCAGTTGCACTAGTGGGAGCTGGTAGAACAAGTTATGCAAGCACAACAGGCCCCCACCCCGCTATGGGAAGGGTCAGTAGAAAACCCAGAACAGCCCATGTGGGGAGGAAAAGAAAGACTGTTTGGTCTGGCATGCAGAAATGCTTGTGCCAAGGGATCCCTTTCATTGAAATAAATGGACCGATGCTAGCCATGGCCATGAATTTCAATGGGTCTGCTCTGAATAGGATGAGCACTGCATACAACCCTAGGACTGTTCTCTCTCCCCTAAGGATGGCTGGGGCTGAGATTTCAGGAAAAAAGCCTGCCCCATGTTTTAAACTCAAGAGTCCCACTTAGAAAGAGCAGTGCAGAGCGGTTGGGGGGGGCCACAACTTTTTGCACCATCCTTCCCAAAACGCCTTGTTTTTTGATTCCAAATTGCAATAAGAGGAGCACAGAAGCGCTTGTTCACCCTCCCTTCCATCCCTGCTATCTGGAAGATGCAGCGGTGGCGATAAATTAATTAATGCTTGTGATTAATTAGCAATGAGCCGCTTCTGCCTGCCTCTTTCTCCCTCTCCCCACCTCTTCCTTCCTGATAAGGCAGGATTTACACCTCTCTCTCTCCCTTCCACAGGGGGAGGCAAAGGGGCCGGCCGCAAGGGCGTCGGGAAACAGCTGTCACGGGCGGAGCTGAAGCAGCTGGCGCAGGGACCTGAAGATATGGTGGAAGACTTGGACTTCTCTGATGCTGACTGACAGCTGCGCCAACAGACAACTGGGATGGGTATTGTGAGGGGCAAGGGGAATGGATCTGGAGGTGTTGCGTTTGTGGTAGGGTAACCCACGTGCCCCTTTAAAGCAGGGGCAGGAAGCTGCTCCGCTGAGGCCACCTCCCCCGCCCCCAAGGCACCACTTGAAACGTGAAAATCTTGTGCAGCAGAGTTTTATACGTTTTGGAGAAACACAATAAAATTTGTGGCTTTGCCAGCAGCAGTAAAGTGGCTCAGGCAAGGAGATAAAAAGGCCCTTGTTAAAACCTGCCACTTTATAAATAACATGGGGAGGGCGGATCCGCCACCTCCAAATCCCCGTTTTGTTGGAAGGAAGCCAGCCCCAAGCCCACCAGCATGGCCAGAGCTTGTGTTGTCCATTATTAGCCAGCTACCGCTTCCAGTGAGGGAAGCACCAGCAATTAACTGGTGGCAGGTATCACCTAATATTACCTGCCTATTCCACAGAGCTTCTAGGGGTGCAGAGAAGTCTTTTTTTGCCAGCCAGTGCCCTCTGCCATTTAAACCCCACCCTGGTACAGCTATGCTAAGCAGATTCTAGGAAAGAGAAGGGCTAATAGTTGGGTGCCTGTGGTCTCTCTTCATAGTGGGCAGAACAGACTCTGCACTGGGAACTGTATTCGTTAGATTCACCTCTGCTTACCCCCGACTCAACTGTGTATTATTTTTTATACTTTTGCAAGACTCTTAAGGACACAGCCGGCCCATGGAGCAACCATTTTATAAATTAAGTGATTTCTTTTTTATTATTATTATTTAAATCGATTTGCTGGAAAGCGTTGGCCTGGATGTGATGGATAACGACCATTTACAATATATAAAGAAGCGAAGGTACCATCGAGCGATCTGTTTGATTCCCCACCCCCACACAAAAGTAAAAAAAAAAAAAATGAATAAGGGGAAAAAGGTTGAGCGTGCAGGTGTTTTTAAAACAGAAAGGGTAAGGAGAGAAAAGCGGACAAGCATCAATCACATGATTGTTTTCCATCACTGTACAAATTGCGAGGTGGGGAGGGGGCAAGGTAGAGTGCCCTGCCCCGATGGGCTCACTCGGGTACCTTACCTGGTCATGGGGTGGGGGAACCAGGTAAAAATGTGCAACTCCATATCCTCTGCAACAAGCCTCTTCCCCCCCTCCCCCACAAAATACACACACACTCCCCCCACACAAACAAAGTAAAAATGGGACACACATCTTCTGTACACACGCAGTTTAAGGTGTGGGGGGTAAACTCTGCCTCCCAGCCTCTTCCACGCTCATCTCCCCTTCTGCCCCCCCCCAAACAAGGCTATCATTATTATTATTCTGCAAAACAAGTCTGTGCAGTACCCATCAAGGAGGGGATCTTTCACAGTCAATCTGCAATGTTTAAGCAGCATGAAAATGCAGTTTAAAAAAAGAGAAAAGCACACAAAAAACTAAAAAACCTGTACCCCACAGAGCTAGCTGTGCCGTACCATCCAAACTGAAGTAAACATGGACCGGAACTTGGGCGTTGGGTCAGTTGTCTGTCTTTGGTATTGTTTCAAAGTTGTTTTTTGAGCGATGCATAGACACCTTGAAAGAGGAACGGAACAGGTTCCAGCGAGGGACACATTTCAGAAGTGGGGAAGGAAGAGTGTTTCCTCCTGGTGGGAGGCTGGGGTTAGGGGATGGGAAGAAGGGGGGTGCTGAGGGTCTCTTCCCCAAAGTTGCATTTCCGTAAAGGCAACAAAGAAAAAAGCCCAAACAACGTTCCTTTTCTCCAAAAGAAAAGAAAGAAAAAGTCACGGTGTCCCTTTTCAAATTGCTTCCAATAAATCTTTGGATTACGCCGACCCCTGCCCCTTAAAACCCCAACGCTGAATGCATTATTATTCTCTTGGTTCCTCGGCTGGCTGGTTCCAGTGCTGGAAGGCCCAGCAGCCCAAGCCAGGGACCCTCGCGAGGCTGGCTGACTGCCTGGGGCTGTGCAGTTTACGAGGGCTGCTTCGACGTGTCGCTGAGGCCGGCCAGCAAAGGGTTCCCATTTTCCTGCTTTGGCGAGATGCGGCTGGCGGGGAGGAGAGCGTTGCCGTACGGGGAGGAGGTCACGCTTCCTGTCGACGAGGGGCGGAGGTCAGCGGGAGGCAAGTCACGGTCTGCGGGTCGCAAGCCCGGGGGCTGGAGCGGGAAAGCCATGGGGAAGCTAGCCATGTACAGCACCCGGCCGACTCTCTTGGCTACCTGTGGAGGGAAATTGCAAAAGGAAGAGGGGAGATTAATGGGTGGGTTGAGAGGAGAGCATGCAGGCTCAAGAGGTCTCCTCCTCTTAGCATGCCTGCTATGAGCCGCAGTCCTTTTCTGTACAACCACTCCTGCACAACTGGCAGGGTGAGGGCAGTCTCTGCTGGAGTTGGTCTTCTGGGGTCAAGCAGTGAGTGCCTGGTGCTGCTGATTCCTCAGCAGAATCTGTACAGGTCAGGGAGGCAGCTATGGAGCCTGGGGGACCCTAGCAGGGGGCTGTTTTGACAAAATAGAAATTCTGGAAAAGGCAACGTGCACAAAGTAGGCAAATTAAAACCATGTGCATACAAGCTGAGTAATTCCACATGCACACATTGTGGATAGTCTTGGTGAAGGTCATAAATAAAGGGAAGTGGTTGGTGAGAGGGGATCTTCACAGGAAAATCATATAAACAGAGACTGGACACATGCTTTAAAGTCTTTTCTTCCCCCTCTTGAGGACTAGCACCTTGATTTAATGGGGCAGGAGAGGACAGATACTCATGCTAAATTTCACATAATCCCAAATTGCACATGTGTACATGATTGCAGAACACATGCTGGGGGAGGAGGGGTGGGAGAGGGGTCATCATGCTCCTGATATGCTTATCAACAGAGCCATTTGCAGATAGAGCAAGTGAGCCCTCTTGTCTCCCTAGAAACCAGTTCTCAGAATTCTATCCCACGCACACAACATGTTCCTTGTCACCCTCTGGTGAAACAGCATCCAGGGCAGAGATACCTGCTGACATTTGGGGCAGAGTCACCTGAAATGTGACCAGGCTATTTCTTATTTCAGACACACGGGGATAATAATGGCTGGATGTGGAGGGATGTTCCAGGGGGAGGCTGCAGTCTGCGTTGGGGGACCACTGCTGTATCTGGGCTTCACATTCTTCCTCCACACACACTTCAAAAACATCGTAAGTCTGGATCAGGACAGTGGCCCATCCAGTCCAGCATCCTGTTCTCACATCACAGTGGCCAACCAGATGCCACAATAGGAAACCTGCAAGCAGGACCAGCGCACAAGAACACGCTCCCCTCCTATTCAGAAGCATTACTGCCTCCAACTGTGGGTGAACCTTTTGGGGATCACACACACATGGACCCGAAGCCCTGAGCAATCTTGCAATCTCTCTGCCGGCCCCCCAGCGACACCACCCTTGGGAAGCGGACCATGGTGCAATAAATACATTTTGCCGAGGCAGGCTTCCCCCCGCCTCAACCACCACTGGCCATATACATTTGTTATATTATGTTAAAACAATAAGGGCAACTTTATTACTTTCCCTGCAGCCCTTACTGTTTACGAGGGGTCTAATAAAAAGGTTCTCTGGGCAATTGTTCCCTGTGGATCAATTCTGCAGGAAATAAAACTGATTCAAGGAGGAAAAAGAAGCAGTGGCGGTGGCAGCAAGAAATTCAGGAGCACCAATCCGACTTCGATTACACACGCAGGTTGTGGAGTGTTTGCAGGAGAGATACGGAAGTGAAATAACTGGCAGTAGCCTTAAAATTGGGCTTGGAGTGATACAGCCATCCCTTGCCCAAGTTCTGCTAACTGAATAATACTCTGGTTGTTTTGGGTTAAATATGAACCTCTGTTTTTTATTGAAGCTTTAACAAAAACCAGCTGTGTAGGTGCGAGAGCAGGCGGGGGGCTTTTGGCTCAGGATCGAAGGTGATTAATATAAGCCCACATCCCTGGGGCAGACAGGAGGATAGGGGGAGAGACTCGGCAGCTGGGGAGAGGGCAGGGGGCTACCATTAAATTGTTGACTGTGCAAATGAAGGCTGTGATGGGGAAAAGCGAGCAGCCTTTATGGAGGAAGAAGAAACCAAGGACCAGTGTGTGCGTGCAAAGGATGTTATTCCTGCAGCTTTTGGTGGTGGTGGGTGATGGAAAAAATTGGGGGATGGGAAGAAAGAGATAGTGCTCAAAAGCTAGCAAAACACCTAGACCTCTGACTCCTATTTGAACACTTTCCTATGCCCTGTTTCCAGAACGCACTGAGAAAAGGTGTGTGTGTGGGGGGGAAATCTACTTAGAACATCACCTTCTACTGCACTTAGTGGGGAACCAGTGGCCCCCCTCCAAGTGCTGTTGGACTCCCGTCAGGCCCCAAGCTATGTGACCAGTGATGAGGGATGATGGGAGTTGGGAATCTGGAGGGCAAAAGGTTCCCCAGCCTTGTTCTACCAAAACAACTTATCGTGAGCGTGCAAGCTTTTGGGTTACAGTAGAAGGCAAAGGAAATGTATAAAGCTGCTATTGCAGGTGAATCCAGAGCCCCATCAGCACAGGCCTGACCTACAGATGCTGTAGAAGGAAGTGGCAGAGTGGGACCCCGTCGGGCTGCAGAAAAGGGATGCCATCCTTCCATAATACCTTATCATGGGATGTGCTTATTAGCTAGTTTCAACCTTCCAGGGAGATGTTGCCAACTCCCCTATGAGGAAGGCTTACAGCATTTGGAACTCCTTAAAGGGACCCGTGACAAGTCCAGTCGTGGACCACTCTGGGGTTGCGGTGCCGGCGTACAGCTTCCGGGTCATGTGGCCAGCAAGACTAAGCCGCTTCTGGCGAACCAGAGCAGCGCACGGAAACACCGTTTACCTTCCCGCCGGAGCAGTACCTATTTATCTACTTGCACTTTGAGGTGCTTTTAAACTGCTAGGTTAGCAGGAACAGGGACCGGACAACAGGAGCTCACCCCGTCGTGGGGATTCGAACCACCGACCTTCTGATCGGCAAGCCCTAGGCTCTGTGGTTTAACCCACAGCGCCACCCGCGTCCCTTGGAACTTCTTAGGTTTGGAGAAATAGTTATGGCCACCAACTTGGATGGCTTTAAAAAAGGATTAGATAAAGGCTCCCAATGGCTACTAGCCACAGTGGCTGTGCTCTGCCAGTCAGAAGCAGTATGCTTCTGAATACCAGTTGCTGGAAACCACAGGAGATGGGGAGCTGCTCTTGTGCTCAGGTCCTGCTTGCCGATTCCCCATTAGGGGATCTGGTTGGCCACACTGAGAACAGGATGCTGGACTAGATGGGCCACACTTCTTCTGCCTCTGTGTGTAAAGAGGAGAGCATTCAAAAGTGTGATTCCCCCACCCTCACTTCCACCTGCCCTGGGTTCTGTTCATCCACTCACACACACACACGTCTGGTTGGAATAGGCCACTTAAGCCTTTAGACCCCAGCTGCCCGCCAGACTTGCAGGCCTTAATCTTATTGAAGACAAATGTCAACAGGAATTCTGGATTCTGAGGGTTCTGGCCTGCTGCATCTTGAGCACTCTTACCTGTGACCTTATCTTCAATGCGGGTCCCAGTTTTAACCCCATGTTATTCAGTAAGTGCTCTTCTGTCAAGAGGGGCAGAGTCTCGCCGTCTATGGCCTGTTCCCGGAAGACCTGTCAGGGGAGAAGCAGAAAGCAGTGTGGGTAAGAGGAGCCCAGAGGAGCGCTACATGGGATCTGAGTGCTGTGTTTTAAGAGAAACACAGAAAGCTGCCTTATACAAAGTCGAGTCTATTGGTGAACACAAAGCAAGACTAACACACACACACACACACACACACACACAGAGAGAGAGAGAGAGAGAGAGAGAGAGAGATGTGAGCCTACATCATTAGTGTTGGCCAACCTAATGAAGTTGGGTCTACATGTGGGTAAGGTGGTGGGCTAAGCTGCAGTGTTGCACTTCAGAATGCAGGTGGGCTCTCCCATCCTATGCTTCAAAAAGAGAGCATCCTGTGATCACTTTGATGCAGACTGCTTCCTGCCCATTAGTTCTGTTAAATAAGGTTATAGACCCATACAGCGCCCCACCCCCCAGCAACTGGCTCGTCATAATGGCATGGGTATTTCCATCCAGTGACATAATCAGAGACTCGTGAACAATACAATATTGCTCCTCTCTCGCAAGGGGACCAGTTTTTTGTATTTGTTGTTCGTGATTTTTTTCTTCCATTTTATCTAATACTGAGAAACTCAGTAAAACTTGAAAGAAAATAGGAAGAAAAAGAACCCTGCAAAGAAAGCATTTGGATGGGGGGGGGGGAATGTCTACCCCAGGCCTCTTCCTTTTGTGCCTGTCTTCTAATTATAATACTGCCATGGACATTTTAGTTGGGATTCCTGTATTGCAGGGGGTTGGACTAGATGACCCTCAGGGTCCCTTCCAATTCTATGATTCTAAGTAGGGAAGTACCTGAAGTATTGCAATCAGGCTGAAGAGAGAAACAATTCTCTTACTTGTACCTCCTGCTTTGAATATTGTTTTAATGGCTTGTTTATTACATAGTTTAATTATTGATCTTTTTAGCATAGTTGATTTACTATGTATTTCAATTATGCAGTGGCTTGTTTTTTTTTAAGAAAGGCTTTATCCTTGTTATCCTGCTGTTGACTTTTGTCCATTTGTGAACTGGTAGACTCCTGGAAATTAATGGGTCTAAGATAGAGATGTCCATCAAATCCAATGGGTCTATTCTGAGTAGGGCCACTATTGGAGACAACTGACTATTACCTCCTTTTGCCCCATACTCTTAAAGCTGGCGATTCAGAGGCAGGCACAGATGGGAGCCTGCTGTTCAAGCTTTTTTCCTTAAATCATAATAACAAAAAGGAAGCCGACAGCAGCTTCCTCCTCTTCTAGATCTTCTTTTTATAGGTGGGCCCTTCCAGCCAAGGCTGCTCATGAGCACAGCCTCCTATCCCTGCTCCGTGACCCAGCAGGCCAGCTTGGCTGACAGCCAAAAAACCATCCCCGCGCTCCGCCACGCTTGCTTCCAGGCCTCCCTGGAGCCCATGCCAAGCTGTGTGCGATGCAACGTGCCATCAAGACACAGATGGACGGTCCCAGGGGGCGAGAGCACCAAGGGTGTGTGTGTGTGTCTGTTTCCAATACAGGGTTGCGCTGAGCAAAGACAGCCTTCCTCCCACTGCCCCCTGCTTTATTCCTAATGCAAACGCTGTGGCCGGCTTTTTTCTTTCGGTTGCTTGTTTTTTGCTGGCAAGAGCGGAGGTCAGCTCTGTGCCAGACCTCCCCGGCAGCTGCGGTTTTTGGAGAAGAGAAAGGCAGACAGCTCTGCAGCGCTGGGTCTCCCCGGCGGCCTGGCTTTCTTGCACAGTAAAAAACTGTTAAATGCAGAGCCCCGCTGTGGACCAAAAGGAAAAAGAAAAAGGCCTTATCCCTTTAACTCGTTCTGTGCCAAACCCCTTTTTCCTCCTCCCCCTCCTCCAAACCTCTTGGCCTTCGTGGCTCACTCAAGAGACCTTGTTAATAGGGTGGGGGGGTTGTATTTTTCTGGATTAGGCTGCCTGGAAAGCACCACTGTGAAAGTGCAACTCTCTTCACAGGGAGCTCTGGGGTGGCTGGTGAAGGTTGGAAGAACTCTCAGCAACCCTGCTTGCTGCCTTGTTCAGCATGGAGGAAGCACAAGGCCGGGAGCTGAGAGGGCATGCTTGTCCTGCCCATGCCAGTAGGTGCTGCTGGCACAAAAGCACACGGATGGCTTCCAAGTGATTCTTGCAAGAGAGGAGAAAAACAGCGGGGAGGGCCTTTTAGAGTGTTGCCACAACTCTATTCTGCACTAGGGGTGCTATGGAGGAGTCTGGGTTTTGGACTGGAGAAAGTTAAGGGTTTGGGGGGGGGGCTGCTTGAAGTTCCTTAGTGATGAAAGTACACGTCTTTGAAAGTACAAGTAAATGGCCCAGAAAAGCTAGGAAATAGCTGGAAGATGGGAGCCATTTTGGCAAAGGTGAGTCAACCCACTGCCATCTGACTGAAGGGACAAAGCAAACTAGGGAGGGATGTGTGTGTCAGAGAGAGACAGAAAGAGAAGGAACAAAGAAAAGCTGCAGTTTTTAGAATAGGACAGAGAGGAAGGTGCTAGGCCAGCTCAAGACCATTTTGATGGGAAGGGAAGGACCGTGTCTCAGTGGTAGAGCATTTGCCTTGTGCCTGCTTAGCTTTCTACATACTGCATCCACTATCGGCAATAATACTTATGCCTAGCTAATGACATGTTCATTTATATTAAGGCAACCCTAGTTTTAGGTTGCATCTGAGAGCCAGCATGGGCAACATGCCAGGGTTCGATCAGATGCCTGTATTGGAGGCGGTCCATTCTAGGACAGCCCTGGTCCAGTATGCAGCATGCACTTGATGCTCTAGATCAGAACAGCCCACCAGTTTGTATAACTCAGCAATGACTGGCAAGCAGATCTCCAGGGTTTCATTCGGGGCGACATTTCACTGTAAGATGCTATAGAAATGTCATAATAGTAATATATGGCAGTCCCACCTACACAGAGCCTTCTGCATCTCCCGCCAATTCTCACCCTCTCTATCCCATTCATGCCTCTGACCCCCCCCCCAAAGCCAGCTGCCACAGCTGCCGCCCTGCAGAAGCCCCAGCCTTAGAGGGGGCTTTAATGAAGCGTGTCATGAGGGGATTAGCACTTGCACAGTGTGCGAGAGGGTGGCGGCGGTGGAGGGGGAGGGGGGGAAGCAGGGGGCAGGCCCTGCCTTGAAAATGCACCACCCGCCTGCCACCCAGAAAGAGACAGGAAAAAACGACAACCCTGTGAGCAGAAAGGGCGTCACGGCCTCCCCTGAGGGGGTGGGCAAATTATTTGGAAAGCAGGGGGCCTGAGACCCACAGCGAGGCCTCCTCCTTTCACCAGCAGGTGAGAGAGCCGGCTGTGCTTAAAGAGGCACGTTTTGGGGTGCCTCGTGGGAGGTGGTTTGAAAAACGAAATAAACACTGGGCTGTAGCCCAGTGCTCGTCCTACTCAAGAGTAGACCCATCCATGCTGTGGCTAACTTAGGTCCAAACACTTTAATTGGTCTAAGAGTAATAGACTTAGTTCTTATTATTACATTTTGCTTTGGACACTTAGAAACGTATGATAATAGTATTAATAAAGGTGACGTATTTGATTCAGGTTAGAAGCATTAACAGGTTTGACCGGTTCCTCCTTCTTAGCCCTGCTTTGTGGGACTCTTTCTTGGAAGGGGAAGATGGCACACTGGAACAAAGGAAGCCGCCTTGGTCTCTAAAGTGCACCTGAACTCCAGGGTTTCAAGAAGGGATACCCTGAGCCCTACCTGGAGATGCCAGGAACGGAGCCTCCTGCCTGCAAAGCACTCCTTTCCCCGAAGGGCCTTGTTGTTCTGAATATTTGGCTTCCATAGGATCATAGGAAGCTGCCTTGTACCAAGTCAGATCACAGGCTGATGCTCACTCTGACTGGCAGCTGCTCTCCAGGTTTTCGGCAAGGCTCTTCTCCAGAGCTCCCTGAAGATGCTGGGGATCAAGCCCGGGACCTTCTGCCTGCAGGGCATGTGCCTCATAGGGGCCCTGGAAGCTGCCTTGTACAGAGTCATGGGACCCAAATTGGTCCATCTAGCTCAGTAGCATCGATACCAACTGGGACTCCAGGATTTCAGACAGCCCTAGCTGGAGACGCCAAGGATGAACCTGGGGCCTTCTGCTTGCAAATCAGATGCTCTGCCACTCAGCTCTGGCCCTCCCCTCCCTGTTGAGCAGGTTCTCTCTCTATTCCAAGTATACAGCCACCTTCTCGTTGCACTTTTCTGAGACATCTCAGGATCCCTTCCCCTGAAGCTGATATTCTCTCTCTCAATGGAGTGTTTATAAGAAAGAGGCCTTGGCTGACTCTGGTGCCGAACGAACAGACGGGGTTTTTGTATCCTGGCCGGAGGCCTCACACTGAGCCACTTCATGATCCCCGCCTGGCAGTGATGGATGTTCCAGAAGGGCCTCTTGCCTTGGGGGTTATTCCCCCACCCACCTTCCTCCCCGCTCAATGCACAGGGTTAACCAGCAATTTTAAGTTCTACAGCTCAGACCTCCAAGCTGCTTGCACACAATTATCAGGGGGAAATCGTCAAAAACCCCAGGATGTAAATAACAACCGTAGATTTAAAAACCTTCTGCACGCAAAGAATTATTGCTATTTTATCATTTATTTAAATATTTATCATTTGTTGTTGTTTTTATTTATTTATTTTACTTTTTATTAACAACCTTTTATTTAACATTTTTTTATTTAAATATTATTTGGATACAGCGGTCTTAACAATGAAACCTCCCCCCCCCATCTTTGAAGGTGTGGCTATCCTGTAGAGGATAGTTTGAACGATATTCTTCCCTGTGACAGATGAAACAATTTTTGCGCTGTCTCTGGGGTAACTGTATGTTGGACATTTGGATAATTTGTATGGATTAATGAGGATAAATTATGTTAAATTACAACCCCAATACCCGTTAGGGGGGTTGGGAATATCCTCCATTTGAAATCCCAGAGAGCTACTGCCAGTCAGTGTAGACAATACTAAGCTACATAGACCAAAAGTCTGACTCAGTATAGGGCAGCTTCCTTTGTTCTTATAATGGTAATACCGGAGTATACAACAGGGCTTTAGTGTGCAATCCTTTGCATATGTACTTGAGAGAAAGCACTCTTGAACACGGTGTGGCTTACTTCCATGTAAACACATATAGGATTGTGTAGTCAGCAGTGGCAGGCAGTATTTACTTACTGGTATTTAGGGAACATGGATGGGCATGACCAAGCCTCTGCAGACAAGCCACAGTAGACTTACAAAGACACGAAGAAGTGCAGACAGTTGTGGTACTGAGTGCTGTATTCAGCTTCTTGAGATATATACTTTTTTATTAGAAAAGAAGAAATGTTTTTTCAAAGATCCCATAAGTTTCTAGACCTTATGAGGCGGAGGCAAGGCCTGGCAAAACCTCAGAAAGCCAGAGGCGCTGAGACAAGATTTCCAGTAGCTGGGGGTGGGGTGGACGCTTTAGTGCCCCATGACTGGGATCAGCAGAATAAATTTTGAATAATTTATTCAGCTTGCAGAATTCAGTTTGTTAGGATGCAGAATTAAAGCAAGCAAGCAAGCAAGCAAGCAAGCAAGCAAGCAAGCAAACAAACAAACAGGGAACAGCGCAGCCCTCCAGGAATCTGAAAGCAACTCTTAGCCTTGTTGATTTGCAGAGAAAGTAAGAACCCAAAGCCCCAGGTTTTCCCCTTCCCTCCTGAATAATTGGGAGTTTACCTGAGTGTACTCGGCACAGCCGGACAAACCGCCCACGAAACTGCAGACGTCCTCCACCGTCCACTTGCTGACGTCCTCCAGCGCTGGGCTGTCTTCACCATCCAAGAAGAGACCTCCCATGCTGCCTGGAATGGGGGAGAAGGTTTTTAGAGAGTTGGGAAATTGGGGCGGGGGGTGGGGCAGAGGAAACATAAATCACGCAAGTCCCACACGGACAGCCACACTGCTGCCAGGCCTCCCTTGCTGCCCATTGCATTATTTTCCTCCAGCCACACATCCATCTTTAATGAACTGTCAATTAAAACACCAGGCAGGGTCAATTTGCCCGCCGAGGCCTCCCGGAGATTCCTAGCCCCGAGGGTGGGGAAGCCAAGAGAATGACAGCGGGGCTGGGGGGGGGGGATGACACATTTCCAACTAATGTCTTCAATGTGCTTAATTTTCTTCAGCTGCAGACAAGGGAGGGGAGGTGGGGGGGGTATAATCCAGCAAGGGCTGCAAACTGAAAAGCAACATCAACAGCTCCCAATAAAGCCAGCCAGCAAAGGTCTCTGACCACCTCTAAGTATGTGCTCAGGACAACAAAGGAGTTGAAGGAAGTGGCAGCTTTTCAGGAACATGGGAAACTGCATTATACTGAGTCAGGCCACTGGGTCCATCCAGCTGAATATTGTCTACACTGATTAGAAGTGGCTTTCTGGGATTTCTGGGAATCTCTCTCCCAGTACTACCTGGAGATGCTAGGGACAGGACCTGAGAAGAAGGCACACTCAAAACAGAAACTCATGCAGAGACACAACAGGCAGCCCCCTTCCTTTTAGGGAGCAGGTTGAAGAGCTCACTGGTAGAGGGATGGAAATGCTACCTGCTGTCAGGCAGCTTGTTATCACAGAAAACTGCAATGCCAGTCGCATGGCTTAGTGATAAGCGCACCCACTGTTCATGCAGACGGTCCTGGGTTCAATCACTTGTTATCTCCAGGTAGGACTGGGAAAGACCCCGTCTGAAACCTTCAGAGAGCCACTGCCAGTCAGTGTCAACAACACTTGAGGAGGACCCAACAGCTAACACTGAATCAACTTATTTATAAAACTGTTAAGTCTTCCCCCTAATGCCTCAACAAATGAAACGGATTTGTAAAAATGTTACATGGGGGGAAAAAATACGAGGCATTACACTTACTTCTGTAAAACAAGAAAATCCTTAATAAAATATTTTTTTTAAAAAAACAAACAAACTGTGAAATCTTCCACATTTGACAGAACTCTTGCTAGTGAAACGCGAATGCCTGTGAAATTCAAAAGTCTGTATACTGCCCTAAGATGAATTAAGAGAAGGGATGGGGAACCAGTGGCCCTCCAGATGCTGGACTCCCACTCCCATCAGCCCCAACCAGCCAGGCCAATGGTCAGAGGTGATAGGAACTAGAGTCCAGCAACCAGAGGGCCCACAGGTTATGAGCCACCCTTGATTTTCAGCTGCGTACAAACCATACAGTTAAGGGACATCTCACCCACTGCATTAATACTGGCACCTGTAGTTCATGAAGGGTGCTGGGAATTGTAGATTGGTGAGGGGGTAAACTACAGCTCCCAGGATTCTTTTGGGGATGGGATACGCTTTAAATGTATGGTGTGTATGCAGCCTAAGTGAAGGCAGACATTCACTTCTTTAGTAATCTCCTAATCCGAGAGACTTGCGTTTTTTTTCAGACCTGAAGCTGTTTTTGCCAAACATTGGAGCTCTTTCTCTCTTTCTTCCTCTCTCTCTCCCTCCCTCCTCCTCCCCACCACCCACCCATTTGAAAGAGCGCGGCGCTGACTTGGTAAATAGAGGAAGTGGAATTGAACTCAATTATTCCAGGCACAGCTAAGGCTCCGGCGAGACGCCTCCATCTGCAGCCGGAGAAGCAAGCGTCTCCGAAGGGATCTGGCAGTAACAGCCAACTGGTTCCAAATGATGCACTTCCTCCTTCCAGAGGCCGGCCAAGGATAGCAGCTCGGCCGAGTAGATGGGAACGAAGGAGAGCCTCCTCCTCTGTACTCGGCTGGGCAGCTTGAACCTCAGCGCTTTGGCTCTGCAACGGGGGCATCGCTCTGGACCCAAAGGAAAAATAGGGTAGTGCTCTGATCCAGCTCTTTCATGCGACCAGAAGCTGTTTTCCAGAGGGGCTTTTCCAGCCTCCAATTTCAGGGCTGGCTTCTGTTGCCAACTTTTTAACCAAGCCTGATAGAAAAAAACCAAAACTGGTTTTGCTCAAGACACAGAGAAAGCATTCAATGGCAAAGCACAAGCTCTGGCTCCGCCTATCCTTGGCTCTGGCTCTGCCTACTGTTGGCCTCCCTTTCTTCTCCCACCACTACTTCCAGCACCCATTGACCGCCAATGGGCAGGTTAAACATACTAGGACAGCTCCTGCACTGAGCACAAGCAAGCAAGACTTTGCCAAAATAACTTCTCCCCAGTCTAGGTTGCCTCTGGTCTAGTCAGCATTTTGTGGGAGGGATCAGGCATAAACCAGGTTTGCCTAACTATTTGGAGAAAGTAGTGTTGCCCCAGGGCAACAAATACACTTAGAAACACCTCCACAAGGCAGAGGTTTGTGGTTACAGAAGCGATGAGGAAGTATCTGGATGTAATCTAACCTCCGCATAACCTATATCAAATAAACTCTGTACATAAAGGTTCAGAGGGAAGAGCACTTCTAGCCTGGACAGTTATAGAGTTCTGGCGGCACCTCAGTGTAGCTCCCAGAACTGGATGAAGGGCAGACTAGGAGGAATCATGCTCAGAACAGCAACTCATGCAGATTCCCATCAGGCATCCTCCTCTTCCCCTCAGCTGGGAAAGAGTCGCAGTTTGAAATTCTGGATAGCTGCTGCCAGTCAGTGTAGACGGAGATCCGATAGACCAATGGATTAAGCAGCTTCCTGACATCAGGTGCCCGTGGCAAGTGATTCAAATTCTTTCATTTGCCATGAAGGAAAATATTTCTTCTTCTTCTTCTTGAGGAAGAGGCACTCCCCAACACATTTTTTTTGTGTGTGCCAACTCTCCCCTGAGCTCGCCTGTAAGAATCCACAAGTATTTTCCACACAGCCACACAAACACAGACCCTGCCAAAATATTTATCTCAAGACAGTTCATCCTCCCTTTCGCAGTCACCAGGAAAACACACGGAGAGAATGTCTGCTGGCGTAAAAAATTCTGAGCTGAAGGACGGGGGGCGGGGGGAGACAGAGTGATTTATTGGCAGTTACTGGAGGGGGGGCAAGAAAGAGGAGATGCCTGATTTTGCCAAAATAAACAAGAACTGGTCAAAGCTCTGTGAGGACAAACAGCCACAGCGTGCAGAGACCCAAAAAATACGCCTGGTTCAGCTGACCAACCCTCCTTTCAAGAGGAGGGCATTTCTCTCTCAAACTCCCCCTTTCACCACTCTCCTCTCACAGACTCCAGTTAAATAGGAACAACTGACCCATGCCCGTGGGGCGGGGGCATAGCCAGGGATACTGAGAAGGCTTGCTGGTTTGGTGCTTTAAAGCCCAAATCCTTACTCAACCTCGTGCCCTCCAGCTGCTTTGGACGAAAACTACTAGGAACACAGGAAGCTGCGAATCAAATCATTTTGTCTATGTAGTTTGGTACGGTCTACACTGGCTGGTAGGGGCTTGCCAGGGTTTTAGGCAAGGGATGTCTCACCTGGAGCTGCTAGGGAGTGAAGCTGGGACCTTCTGTACACAACGCAGACTGTCTGCCATTGCGCTGTGGCCTGTCCCTTAAGACACAGAAGCATAGGAAGCTGCCTTTTACTGAGACAGGCCATTGGTCTATCTTAACTCTTTGCAGCGTACACTGACTGGCAGCGAACCTGGGGTCTTCTGCATGCAAACAGATGCTGTATCACTGAGCTGTGGATGAGAGTCGTGGTCCAAAACAGTGGAAAGGCACCTGGAAGCCTGCCCTTTGCATTCTCCAAATAAAGAGGCGATTATTCTATTCCCATCAGGTCAGGCTCCTGATTTTAACTGGGGAGGGGGTTGGCATTGGCACCTTGAACGGGCCCACCTCCTTGCCTCTGCCCCTTTTCCTGCTCTCGGCCTCTGGGCCAAATCAGCACCACTGCCCACAAGGAGAGAGGCAAGGCAACTCCCCGCTGACGTCTTCTCCCCCTTTCGTCTCACATGTTTCACCCTCAGCTTCCCAGGATTTGGGCTCAGAGGACTCCTTTGAACAGCTTCGTTAATTAATTCCACACAGCTCTCACGCCCGGTTCTCTCAAGGGATGCCAGTATGTGCGGGCAGAAGCAAGAAGTTTCAAAGCATCTCTCTCTGGCCCCACAAGATGCGGAGAACACAGGAAGGGCCCTGCTAGACCACAGACACTGGCCCCAGACCGGCAACTGGTTTCCCACAGTGGACCTGAGCAAAATCCATTGCCCTCTCCCACTCGCCATCCCCAGCAATTAGCACATAGGAAAAGAGGGAGCTGCCTTATAAAAGTCAGGCCACTGGTCCAGCATTTTCTACACTGACTGGCAGCTGCTATCCAGGGTTCCAGGCAGAGAATCTCTCCCAGTCCTACCTGAAGATGCTGGAGATTGAACCTGGAACCTTTTGCCACAGTTCTTCCCTGAAGATGTAGCAAGATAGGATGCTGCCTATTCTGGCAGCTGGTCCATCGAGCTCAGTATTGCCTACCCTGACTGGCAGTGGCTCTCTGGGGTTTCAAGCAAGGGACATGCCCAGACCTACCCAGGGATGGAACCTGGGACCTTCTGCATGCGAAGCAGATGTTCTTAGCACTGAGCTACAGCTCATGCCGTTGCTAATACTGGCTAGAATTCAAGCTATGTTAATAGTTGTGTGGGTCAAGGGGCTTATAATGGATCATGGGAACTGCTTGCCATGCAGGGTCAGGTTATAAGGGAGAAAGAGTGATTACCCTGCAAAGGATGGCTCATTAAGGCAAGTGGGATGCTGCCCCACCAAATTCAGTCTACCCTCAGCCAGCGGCCCCACTTGCCTGCCTTCTTGCGGGTGGTGGTAGACTCAGCAGGGAAGAGGAGAACAAAACTAGAATGAGTCTGCTCTGCCTGTCATTGGCTCTGGCTCCACCTACTTC